TTTTATTTTTTCCCCTGAGGAAAACAGAAATTTGTTTAATTTATTTTTACTGCTTTAACTTTTGCTCCCATCTCAAAAAGTAAGCATCTTCACAACCTAGCTCTGATTGAAAGTATCTTTTGATTACAGTATTCAAAAATGTACTAACTCAAAGCCCCAAAAGCCAGATAAGACATTTACAGACTGTTCGTTACTCCTATAATACTGCTTATCGAAGAACGCATCCTCAGAATGTTCTGTAGATGATAATTTAATACAACATCCATGGAATATGATATTTCTGCGTAAGCCTCTACCAAGTTTTTTTCTCATGAGTCATATTTTCTTCATGATGAGAAGCCTCATATTATAAATGACAACAGCAGTTTTGGACAAGCACTGAGAGAAAAGACACTGAGTCTGTATCGAGGGAAGTCCTTCATAGGCAGATCTTGAAAACTAGAAATTGATGCATACCAAACCCAGTTGAAGACTCTGGATACAGAAGTTTCGTGAACAGAATTAATCATAGAATCATAGACTCGTAGAATCATAGACTTCAAAGGGACCTTTAAAGGCCATCTAGTTTAATTCCCCTGCAATGAACAGGGACATGCACAGCTAGATCAGGTTGCCCAGGGCCTGATCCAGCCTCACCTTGAAAGTCTCCAGGGATGGGTCATTAATCACATCACTGGGCAACCTGTTCCAGTGCCTCACCACCTTAACTGTAAAAGATTTTTTTCCTTATGTCTAAACTAAATCTCCCCTTTTTGAGCTTGAACCATTCAGATGCAAATAAATGTTACACATTTGAATTTCCAAAATATCGGTTTGGGAAACAGAACATTCTTGTTTAATTCTCAAGTATATCTTATTTTATGCATATGCATCTCAGTAGCCAATATTCTGTTTCAGATGTCCATAAAAAGAATTGCAAACTGACCTGAGCATCTTCAAATGTGTATCTTCCAGGGTCCTTTACATTCTGCGTGGTTTTGTCATAACTTTTTGAATCTAGATTGATGGCACTGGGTGCACCTGGAGCAAGAAATTCTTGCCAGATTTCTTGGACACGAGCAGGAACTTCACGGATGGGCCTCTTCTTCAGGTCTTCTACTGCTAGCCAGAACCTATGGAACACATCATCTTGACTTCCAGCTCAATATAATCACCAATGAAATGGTGACAGTTTTCTTTGCTCTTAAAAAAAGAGTAAGGTAACGAAAGGTTTCATATAAAATCTGTGAAAATAGATAAAATCTATCAATTTATTCTGGGATCAAGATTGGTGCCATGTCAGGCAATCCAACTGCCATAAAAAGCAATTACAAGCCTAGACAAGATAGGTGAGAAATGCTTCATTTCTTATGTATGTGTAACTTTCTTAGGAGGTTTTCATTTAACTGGAATTAAACTGAGATTTCATTTCACCTGAGTCACAAGGTCTTACATCACTTACAAACCTATTGCTTTTTGACATTCCTTCAGAAGCTAATAAGAACTTACACTCCTGACATCTATGTAAATCTAAAACATGCTAAGCTATCAAATAACGGTATTGATAATTTTGCTACTTTTACTCCATAAATTATGTATATAAAGGAAAAGCATTTCTATAATTTCATTTATTTGTTCAGTATTGCATTTCTTTTTTTTTTTTTTTTCTAACTGCAGCGTTGAACAGAAGCACCCATTCTCCTGCCGCAGAGCAAATCAATATCAGGCAACCATAGTGACAGCCATCCTTCTCATTCTAGAGAAGGATCACTAGAAAGGGCTTGATCAAGCTGTGATCACAGCCAGCTAGCTATGAGCTTTGTTATTCTGTTGTTATTTCCTATTAGGAGCTCTTTATTGTTACCTCTCTTACAGCAATTCGAACTCTCACTGCATAAAACTCAATTAAATTAAATCAGGATGTCATGCTTATGTACACTACAGAACCCTTACACAGTTGTGGTTTTTTTCCTCAGAAAGCTCAATTAAAGCATGAGTTTTATCATGTTACCTATGCAACCACTGCAAAAGATACAACTTTTCAGTATTGTTTTGACGTGGTTGGCCCTATGAAACAGGTCGGCTGATGTGAGTTAACTGTGAAACAAGTCAGATTTTTACAAGGCTGACAGCTAATTTAAGTGGACCTTTAAAATGTGGTTCAATCCTGTTTAAAACATAAAATCAAACTGAAATCTCCTAGCTTTGTCCAAGAGTGAATGGTTGGAGAGAGGAACTGTGGATGGGTGTTCAGATAAACAAAATAATACCACACTAAGTCCAAGTCATAATATAGTTACTGCAACAACTCATAAGAGACAGTAAAGCACTGTAAAGAGTATTCCTCTTATGACATATTCTTCAATTGAGATAATTTACCTTCTGAGCAGCAATTAATCCTTCAGTTCTGTTTCGAAACTGCTTTGTAGCACAGATGGAAGGAGCCCATGCTCATGGCTTCCAAGCCACTACAGTCAGTGTCACAGTACCGAGCTGACTATTTTAGGTACTTCTGCACCTTCCAGTTGCCATAGTATTTATGCACAGCCTCTCAGTCTGCTAATCCCATAAAATTCTCCAAGAGATAAAGAAGTAATATTGTCCCAGTTTCACAAATACATTAATAATGTACAGTGTTTTCTCCAAGGTCACAGAGTCCGTGTCAACACAAAAAAAACCCAAAACTTTAGTTTCAAATATTCTGAGTAGAACCACTTATTTATATGATCTGCAATATGAATTGAAAACAGTTCTGCACAAAGCCCACAGATATATTCTGGGAATCTGATGGCAGTGCAGTAAGTATAAAGGCCTCATAACTCAAGTTTAAAAACTGCACAGCTCAGAAACTCTAACTCAGTCAAATTTGGGCAACCTACTTTGGTTTCCTTAAGCTACTTTTAATATTTGCATCTAAAAGTGCATATCCTGCGGTGCCAACCCCTTTAAACGCATCTTCTTGGACTGACTGATTACTCATGTGTATCAAAGTCAGGTAAGGAATAGAAAAATGAAAGAGAAGGATGTTCTTTGTAAATATACATTTTCTATCACCCTGCAGACATCCTGAGTATCTAGCTCAAAGCTGCCACATTCTTATTTGTTCCTTTATATGACTGCCAATATTTCTGGAAGTCACTACAAGTATGCCTTAGGATGCTATTTTCTTTTTCAAGTAAACTGTTTCCATACAGTAGGTTATACTCAATTATGGAAAAATAGATGGGAGAAAAATTGGACTTCTTTGAGTAAACAAGAAGCTTCCAATATGGAATAGCAAGGTTGTACAGATACATTCTTAGAGGCTGAACATCAGATTTTCAATAAATTAATTTTATTCCACCCTTCTAACATTAGCATTTAAAAGCTCGATTGGAAATGTGAGGCTCTAAATATAGAAAACACTTTAAAAGCATGAAGAAAATGCTGATTTCTGCAGCATGCTCCATCTAAGAAGCTTATTCACAGCCAAAACCCAGTTCACTAATTTAATCTACTTTTCAATTTCTTAATCTACATTTAAGAAAAAATGCTTACCCTCCTCCCACATAAGAATTAAAGTCAAATATGCAAAATTAGGAAGAGCCAAAAATGAGGCTGCTACCTCTTGCATTTTCTAAATTAACATTTCTGAATATCACATGGCTACCAAAAGCACAGATTATTGAAGGAAGTGGAAATGGATGCTGCAAGATCTCAGCAGAGGCCCCGAATCAAAAGATGCACCTCTCCATTTTTATAACTCTGCCTCACGAGCTGTGACCAGAGCAAGGGAAAACTCCAGTAGCAAAGGGTATTTCTGCAACAGTAAATGTACGAAAGGGGAAGAGAGGAGAGAGGGGATCCCAACTGCATTTTCTGGACAAGTATATGCACAGACTTGGTTCTACACTTCATAGAAGGAACTAGAGCTTTGTCTGTTTCCTTGAATGAAACTTGAAAATCCTGTTCATGTAGGTTAGCTTCAGTCATGGAGATCCTCACTAGAGGATTCTCAGTACCATTTGAATAGACAGTCTGGGGTCCAGGGTATAAACCTTGCTGCTTTGTTCATCCCAGCATTTGGGCTGTGTCATACTGGGTCACAAGCCAGATGTATGGCTGAGTGAGAGTGTATAGCACGAGAGTTGTACCTCCAGCCACATAACATGATAGGACACATGCTGAAAGACATCTGGGGCTTATGTCCTCCAGCTGGAAAACTTTCAAAGTGTGGGTGGCCATGCCAGAAAAATAGCACAGCTGCATTCCAGCTTCTGTCCCGTTAACTGACCTAAATATCTGAGGCAGCCAACAGCAGATCCCAGATTAAGCTAATCAGTTATATTTAGCACATAGGAACATAAGAACACAAACGGAGGAAAAAAGCTGCAGTGATTCTGAACAAATGTGTGAGAATTAAGCAACACTGAGAAAGCAAGGTGGGTTTTCCATGTGCTTTGGAACTAATGCATGTGTCACAACAGGTCAGAGACAGACCTCAGCACTTTCAGCAAGACCTTAACAAATTGCATTGAGAAAAACAGCTAGCATTTGTTTCTAGCTGCATGAAAGATTACTCTTTGACTCCTAAAAACCACCTTCTTGCCAAATACAACTTCAAACTTCAAGATATAGTAGTGCAAGAGTTCTTCAAAAAATGGGAGGAAATTAAATTCGGCAACTAGTGTCTTCTGATCTGCAGAAATTACAGTATTTTGGGGACTTGGAGATTACACTTCTGACTGAAACAGAAGTAAAGCACAGGCAATTTCAGCCTTAAAGATTACAGTTTGGCCACATTAGCACTTAGAACAAGGTCTCATAATCAACGGTATGAGGAATAAACACCAGCAGTGCCTCAAAGAAAGTCCATTACCAGTGCTTCTGTTCAGATTTGCTACACTATCAAATACAATTAATTGTTCATCATACGTTTATAACTTCCCTGTTAGTGAAGGTCATCAATAACAAAGAGCGACAAAAGAAGAAAGTGAAACAAGGCTGGATTAAGAAAAAGAACTTAGCTTCTTGCACCATTTTCCCTCTAATGCTCTAGTAAAAGTACTGTCATGCTGTAATTAAAAAAATTACCAGTACCACTGGAGTAAATAAAACATAAAATTAAGCACTATGACTGAACCAATCTGTGGGCAAAATTACACATTTTAGTAGTACTTTTTAATTCATTTATTTTATAGGACATAATCACAGCATCGATTTCTAGTGTAGAACATTTTTACAGCAATTTAGGAGTCCATGACAAAAATTTCACACAATCTCAGCTTGCAGAGGTCTGAGCACATCAAACTTCATCGGGAGAAAACACCTTAATTTAACTAACTTCTGAGTCCCTCAGAATTCAATGCCTCTTTTCCTTAACTTGTTCATTCATTATGGAAGATAGTAAATGAGGGTCAAAGGAAAGGGCAACAGGTCCAGTGGCTTTTGCTTCTGTGTATCAGGGAAGATGCTCTGTCATTGCCCTCCATTCATTAACCTGTGAGGCTCTTGCAACTTTGGAGATCACCCCTACTGCAGTACTGCATAATAGACTGTGACAGGCTTTCAGATTGGCAGCACTGAAACTATTTAGATTTTTCAATCATTGGTAATTCCTACAAAACAACCACGTAGGAGCAAAAGTACAGTTGACACGAATGCTATTTTTCCAAAAAATTCTGCAGCATAAAGACAAAAGAAGGGTAGGGAGAGGAATGGAAATTTTCTACAGAAATGAAGAAAGTGCCACATTTCCATAAGGTTCATTTCACTAAGTCACTCTTTGAAAATCTCTTTTCCCATGCTTGAACTACCTTGCAAATAAACTCAGCAGCACTGGATCATGCCAAAACTCAAGCCTCATGAATTCTGAATATTGGTCACCATGTTTGTAATAGGCAGTGGGAATTTTTATAAATTATCCAAACTTCAGATGTTTGCTCTCTTGTATTGAACTGTATGCAAAGTGATCCATTCAAAACAGCTGCATGAAAAGGAGAGATTACGTAGATATCTTAGGTGAATGAAGAATCCATTCTGGCTGTTAGTAAAATGCATTCACATTGCAATTAAACTGCCATGTTGATAAACCTTATTGGACTTTTTAAAGAGCTCTTTGCTAAATGATCAAGCAGAGCTAGATTCATGAGATGGCTTAGAGTTTTAATGGATGTCTCCCTCAGAAGGAGCATTCCTTTGCTACCTTTTACAATACCCCTAGAGAGGGAGATACTATTAATTCCAATTTATGGGCAAAGAAAGAAAAACAACAGAGAGAGACAGAAAAAAGAAGTGAGTTCTGACTGCATTCCCCTTGATTGCACAGTTCTTAGTTTTAACTCGAGACTCAAGTTTCTTTATCCCTGTTCTGTTTCTCAAAACACAATCTATGTCCTCTGAGACTCAGGTTCTCTGCCAGTTTAGGCACTCTCAGTTCAAGTCAATGAAAAAGTAATATTGGGACATTTAACTGCTTAGACACTTGAATATAAACGGTGTATCTGGTAGACTTAACAACTGATTTATGTTTCAGGCTTTTGTGATTGTTTGTTTGTTTTGAAGCGAGGTATAAGAATTCTAATCAATTAATTCTGAATTTCTCTGTAGTGTCTGAATCTCTTTTGTACTGTATTGGGTAACTTGAATCCACAGTCGCAGCTGTATTATCTCCTTTGAATTTAATGGCACTTATTGATTATGACTGTAGAAGGATAAGAACTAGCTACTGACTTGAATTCACACTGCAGTAGGAAGATGTGAATGGAAATAAATGTTTTGTTCAAGGTGGCTGTCAAATTCAAAAATAAGAAAAAACAAATTGCTGTAGTGAGGTTAATAGCTGAGCAAACAAACAGGTAGTCTTTTAAATTTAAGGTTTCTCTAACAATAATGCTTGAAACCACCATGCCCCAAATGATTTTAATTTCTCTTAGTGTGACCTGTAATATTTTTATTCTCATATACAACAAGCCTTACAAATTCATGCCTTCTAGCCTGATTTTACTGTTTGAGCTTAACTGTGGATTGATTTCCCCAGTTTGAGAATGCATAAATGTAATTCGGAGCTTGTGAGACAGTTTTCAGTTAATCATCACAGAAAGCCCCTTTAAAGTAAGAATTTGATCCGCTGCCTGATTCTTCCCAATGAAGCCTTTAAGCTCATATTCACTACTGCTGCTAGGTATTTTATAATACCAATGTAAAAATCTAGAGAGATAGAAGAGAAGATGGCATGTCAAGGAATCAGCTCTGAACAAATTTCTCTAGTGTATTTTTCTGGATCAGTCACTTGCAGTTTGCCTGTGGTTAGTGTTGTAAATAGGATTAGAGAAAAGAGCTGGGGATTATGTGGGTAACACTGTAGTTGGCAGAGAGACAAATGAATCACAGAAACACACTGAAACTGCAGTACATACCAGGCTGGATAGGTTTATGTTTGAACAGCTGCTCTGTGTAAGGAATTGCTAGGATGTTTTGTGAGTGAAAAAATGACTTTTTCCCTCTTTAGGTATCATGCTGACTTCACCACTGGATTTGTTAATTAACAAAAAATCTTTATATGTCACTAATGAACTTATCAGCATAGAAATCAGGCTATATTTCCATGTTTGAGCTATATTTCCAGAGAGGTAAAGTCAAAAAAAGTCATTTGGGAAATATAAGGTATTGAGTACATAATATATACTTGTTATGCAAAGTTCAGAATATGAACATGGCCAGCAACTTAGAGAAATCCATCTCTAGTTATTCCACAGTTAATCCTAAATTAACAACAAGGAGGTTTGTGCAATTACTGAGCATTTAAGGAACCAACACCACAAAGTGCTAAATGCCTCTTGTAAAATGCTATTTAAAGGTAACTCTAATGTTATGTAAAGGAGAAGGGAAGGTTATACTGCACCGTTTAGGACTAAGTGCAGGCACACACACACACAAAAATGAGGTTCAGGAATTTTCTAAGTTTTGTAATGTAAGCAAATAGGATTTTAATATTCCTTATGCTGTTGGTGAATGAGAAGTGGTACAGATGACATTTGACAAGATGGAATATAGGGAAAACAGTGGCATACATGCTTCTCAACTATATACAGTCTGACTCATCAATCAAAATACTATTATTGGCTCCTCTGGATTAATCCCTACTGTAAGACTTCCTCAGAATAGCAGTACTAAATATGCTGAAAGCCAATGGATGGAATATTATTTCTTTAAGTCAAAGAATATTTCTCTTGAAATATTTGGAATAGTACTTTGAATAATCTCTTTGAAATAATACTGCTTATATACATATGTGGTTTAAGATTCATACACTAAAAACAATTTTGCATTTTGCAATTAGTATGGAATTTGAAAGGTGAACATCACACTACTTCTGTTGTGTCTGATCCATATAATCTTCAAAAGACCAAGAATCCACATAAATGGGACCAACAGTGAAAGTTTTAACTTTTACTTCTAAATACTTTATTTTTTTAACAAATTTTCTTTAAAACTTTACTTTTTTTTTCATAAAACCAAACATAATGAAAGCTATTGAATAGGTTTTGAGTAGGTCAGTGTTTTAATGCTGTATAATAGAACGAGCTGAGAGAAAGTCTTTTATGTAGGTATTTGGACCAAAAGTTGAATAGGAATAGGAGACGATTTCATGCGAGTCTCTGCAAACTATATTAGTTTTTCTCTCATCCTAAATATAAAAGCAGGCAGCAATCCACATGAATTGACTCCAAAAGATAAGATACAAGATAACTTTTGATAGGATTGAAATAAAGAAAGAATATATCATCGAAAAATATTAATAAGAAAATAAGAAGTATCTTAGGAGCTACTAAAACATAAAGTATTTCACCTTAAATTTTCTGAACTGAATTCTGACTCCAGGAACTTGAGAAATTGCTCTCTTCCCACAGGGTCTTTCAAAGCTTCATCCATCCCAAATCCCCATCGTTTCACCCTCTGCTGTCCTGGCTCTTTGCTACAGGAAAGGAAGCAATAAAACCCACAATCAGCAATAATTCAGTGTTTTAATGCTCACTGTACAGAATATAGTACAAAAAGTCCTAGAGCTCAGCCAGAAATTTCTCACTTTCCAGATCGCTCACATCAGTGCAAAGTTCAGCAATGAGTAACCAGGCTGTTAGTGCTCAGACAGGATGAAGATAAAATGCATTCACTTTTGCAGAAGAAAAAAGACTTCCAACTAGCAAATGTTACCAGATTTCAAAAAGTCATGTTTTTTTTCCCCGCACTGGAATCCTACAGACTGGTTTCTGTAACTGTACACAGATTTATTAATCCATAGTTCTCCACATGTTACAAAACTAAAGCTAGAAAGACCAGAAGGATATTGCATTTACTTTTGCTTCAGTACTTTCCTTCGATACCTCTTTTTGTCTGAAACTTTCACATTTCAAGAGAAGGCTGTTAAGCACCCTTCACCCAAAAGACAAAAGAAAAATATATACCTTGCCTCCAGTTCCCAGAAAGTGGTGTCATCAGATATCCAAGGGTTTGAGGGATCAGGGGGCACAAGAAAAGGATCATATTCCAAATACTGCTCTGTATAAGCTAATAGACTAGGAAAACAAGAACATCAAATGTCGTCATGTCAGGAGGGAAGAAAACCTTATTGTGTTATCAGTCAAGAAGCTACTGTGCCTCAACCAAACCATTGTAACCAGGTACATGTGCATTCCAAAACAACCTAAAAGCTTAAGCTAAAATATGTTTGCTATGCTTTAAAATAATGATTCCATTAACACTGAACTTGTGGATCCTTGAAGAAAGAGGGTGCTTTGAGTCTTTCTTATCAAGAGCTGAAATAAAATAAATTACAAACTTTCCTAATATGTCCAAAAATATCCCCAAAAACACAAAGCTGTTTTTTTAAAAATCTTCAGGGTTCATGATTGCTTCAGGTCTGAATCCCCTGAGCAAACTAAAAACTTCTTTATGTTGTGTTCTGTTACTTTATGTCTCCCATGTTCTAATTCCCACTTTCTTTTTGCCTAATAATTATTGAAAATTATTGAAAAGTGAGGAAAAATATTAGTTGTTGTTGTACTTAGTCTGTAATCTCTACTGTTCAGCAAGCAGAACACAATGCATGTGAACACATAAATATGTATATATAAGCAAACCCATATGGACACACCTATATGATAGGATGAAGACGTTTGGTTTTATTTCCTTCAGTTGATCTTATGCAGCTTAATCTTTCTGCAGTTTTCACTTTATCTGTGTACTTCAAGATCCGTAAGATACAGCAGACATTTTCTTTACCTGAACCGAAGGTGAACTTTCTAAAGAGCCTTTTTGAATGGTTTGGTGTCTAACCCCTTACTTGCATATTTTGTTCCAACTTGGAAACAGATTCCTGCTAGTGTTATGTAAGACTCGGATGTAAGCTCAGAGCCATTTTGCTCAAGCTGAGAGCTCGTCACCCAGCCAGCCCTATCAATCAGATCCCTTGCTTTGTCAGTGATTACCCTTTCGAAATATCAAAGTATAACCCCAGACCCATTTCTAGTTAGCCTCCCTGTCAATGCAAGGGGAAACTTGAGAACACTTGGTCAGAGGTCACTACAGTGACTTGAATTTATCAGGAATATCTGGGCCATCTTTTATCAGAAAAAACCTTCATACCTCACACTTAAACTCTCTTCAGTTATTTCTGTGATGTGAGTTCTCTTGCCTCTCTTTCTTTCAAGCTATTTCACGCTGACATTTTCCAAATAGTTATCAGTCTAATTGAAAAAACAGAAGATGTGACAATATACTTACCTCTCTGCAACTTTTGACATTTTTAATCGATGTCTGTCTAATTGCATTTGCCAGTGTTTAATCTGCAAGAAAGGAAAGCAGAGTGTTATGAGTAATTCATTGCTTGACTCTATTTCCATAACTTTTTTATTAGGGCTGTAATTTACCCTGGGGCACAGAAAAGAAGTATATCTGAAATAAAACAACACTCCATCAGTGTAGTTCTAAAATAAATGGAATTTTCCATCAAAGAGAAAGATTATACAGAAGCCAAAAAGAAAAAAAAAAAAAAAGAAGAAGAAAAAAAAAGACCCAGTGTAACATTTTCCCTACAGGTTCATCAAAAGAAATCCAATTAGCCTTTTTTAGATTTTTGAAGAGAGCTACTAACTCTTCAGACATTTACCTTCTCCCAGTTCTAATGCCTCAGGAAAGATTAATGAAATATTAACAATGGATTAATGTGTGAACCCGTATACGCACACAATGAGAGGTTAGAGTGCCCCCATAGCTCAAACCAAAGTGGTGAAAGGAAGAGTGATTGAGCAGTCTAATACTAAAGGAGCTAATGGGCTTAGCTATGCAAAGATCTCACCAACTGGACTGTTTCTAACTGCTTTCAACTGTTTCATGTGAGATATAAAACATGTCATGTTTTTTTCTCGTTAATTTTAACAGAAATTACACACCTAAGTCCATATATATGGTGCGAGGAAAAGATCTACTAAGCAATTCACAGATCTGCTCTGAACATACTTCCCAGGTAGGACATTTTTGGTTTACTACCTACTTTCCTAAAACGTTCATTTAAAAGTAAATGCTTGTAGTTATTTTTCAAACCTCTTGCTGTAGTTCATCTTCTGTGGGAGGTTTAGTCTCTGGTACTGGTGTGTGAGTAGGGCTGTGACTTCGGATGTCATTTTGTAAGCCATAGACAGACTATGCAAAAAAAAATGGAACAATGATAGTTGCTTTTAAACAACATTTTCGACATAAACCCACAGTACATAACTGGGATAAAGTGCTCAAGACTATTCCAGATCACCAGCTTCTAAAGAAACTGTAAATAAACCATGTGCTCACACAGAATTTTGTTTCTATATATCAGTAAACTGTACAAAAAAACACACAATTTCCTGAAGCCACTGAACATAGATAGCATCAACTCTTTTGTCTCTATATTAATGTCACAGCAAACATGGGGGATGACACTGAAAGACAGTTATTAGAATAAGTGAAACTGGTCAGTGGGAAAATAATCTCAATATAGTTTCCTTTTGAAGACACTAAAATGTACCCCAAAAGGCACACTTTAAATTTGGACTCAGTCTACATTATGATAAAGAGGATTTGACAGAAAATGTTGTTTCATTCCACCTGTCTGTCCCTAGAGAACTGAAAACAGTTTGTATCAGGATCCTAGTGTAGATGAAGATTACTTTGTTCAGTTTTTGTACATCTGTTTGAAGCATAACTATAAAGTAGAGGCAACCTTTTCATTAAAGGTTGCACAAGAAGCACTACTGTTATAGTTTATACTGCATTTTTCATTTATTTTTCCTTAACTAATGACAAACATTTTAATTTATTCAAACTACTGAACAAGATGAATAACATAAACAAAAATGATTATTTTCATAGTCTCTGGGTATTCCTCCAAACACTTTCTTATGTGACAGTGTTTACTTAGTATTAGAAAATTTGTAAATAGTAATTAATTTAAGAGCTTATTAAGCAACAAAATATGTTCATGTACTCATTCCTTGCAGCAGTACTAAAAAAAATTTTAATAAAGTACAGAACTTCATGCAATAAATTACCTCAATTTCCTACTTCTTATATAATGGCAGTAAATTACCTTTCTTGTTTTATGTGGATTTCTCATTCTTGAAGACTTTTTTATATCAACTTCAGTAGTGTTTACACATCCAGGCTATTCAAAGAAAAAGAAAGAAAAGCACTAGTTTCTTTTAATTCATCTTTCATAATTTTCTTTAAGCACTAATGGCAAAACCATCAGGACTGCTCCAAAAGTAATGCCTCCTGTTTTTATTACGTTGGCTCATGATCAGAGATGGATGTTGACAGTATGACAGTCCATGTTGAACCCTCCCACCGACATTCTGTTACATGTTGTTGCCAAACATGTGACAAACAGCAGCGAGGGGCAATCTGACAAAATGGCATCTGACATGGAAGCATGAATGAAGCAAAGCTGTGTCACTGAATTCCTTCATACAGAAAAAATGCCATTCATGGACCTCCATCGATGCATGCTGAACATTTATGGAGATCAAACAGTGGATGTGAACACAGTGAGGTGGCAGGTGGTGCATTTCAGCAGTGGCAACAGCAACAGTGGGTCACCTCTGTTGGCATGCAAGCTCTTGTTCAATGCTGGTGAAAATGCACATCTAATGGTGGTGATTACATAGAAAAAATAGTGTTTTGTAGCTGAGAATTTGCTCTAATTATTGTTACTGTGCTCTTTTTATCTGTTGTAGTTTCTATGGAAATAAATAGGAGACATTACTTTCAGAGCAACCTGCATGTCTCCTTATCATTCAGCAAAATGCTTGATAAGGTGCAGGTGTAAATCTTCACAGAAAAAAATTTTTACATCTTTCTTATATTGTCAGAGTCAAGAAACAAATACATTTCATTAAACAGGACAATGGTACTTTATCTCCAGAAACCTATTTCAAATAACAGCCTGATTTTAAATGCAATATTTTTTAAAAATCACACTTTTTTAACTGTAAAGTACTACAATGATATGTATTTTATTCATATTACATTTCAAGAATAAACAGTTCCTCATTACTAAGAATATACATAGGCACTGGGATAATATCAAGACTGGATCTGTGTAATGTACCAAGAAAACCATTTTATTGCAGAATTTGCATGTAAATGCACTCTTATTCCTTTGGATTGGTACAGAACATTAATGACCCATTTAATGAGACATTTTTTTCCAGGAAAATATAATGTCCATAAAATTTAACATTATCCATGTTACATAAGAGGAATTGTACAAGTCCATTGCAGGCTACATTTGAAATGTTGTGGGTTTATTTCTTTTTCTTACAGCAATCAATACGCTGTCTTCAGCGCTGCTCTTCTCTGCAGATCTGTTGGCAATAAATTCTTCTACACTGTTTTCTAATGTTATTATCACTGAAACAGCTCACCTGGTGGCTTTCCACAGTAGGGAAGGACAGTGATTTAACAATATTTTGACTCTGTGGGCGTTGCTAGATTAACCAATGATTAGACTGTCAAGAATCACGTCTCACTGTTGTATCTACGCTGTTGTAGTTGGGTTGGTATTATTTAGGGGAAATAAAGCTCTACCCAAAGATATTTTCATCTTTTAATGATGTAATAATGAAATAAAATATAACAAACAACATTTTTTCACCACAGAAGCATTTCTTCTATTTAGCAACAAAAGTTAATTTGAGTACTAAATCTCAGAATAGCTTGTAACTTTCAAACTCAATAATAGGTTGAAAAGTACAAAATTGTGCATGACAATCAATTTAAAGGCTGAAAGCAATTTCATAGGACAGTATACTAAGATACAAAGTTAAAAAGAAAACATTACATCTACTTCAGGATTATGGCAGCAGCTGGCCATGAAGACTCGAGCTTTTAACAGTATTTCAGCCCCTGAAAGCAGCTATTTGAATAGCAGGCACACTTACATAAGGTACAAACTGTTATAGGATTTTTTTAGTCTTCAGTTATGGTTTGTTAAAAACATGTCTTAAAACAAAACAAAACTCATCTGAGGCGTCTTGTTTTGAAAGATTTCAAGTCCACTAGCAGTAATTGGCATAACCAGATCTAACACTTTGACCAGGAAACTTACAAGTTCTGCAGACCGATGACAACAAGAAATTCTGGGAAACTTGTAGGACTGGAAGAAGGGCAATGCCTGCGCTGTTTAGAAGGAGACCCAATCCAATCTGAATTTCTACAGCATCTGGTAGAATCTTACTGAAACCTGGCTGTTTAGAACCTCTTGGGGTGGTTATGTTGCTGTGGCGCAGCAGGAGCAGCAGCAGAATGATACAGGCAGGAAAATCAGAAAGCTTCACTGAGCAGGGGAAGGCAGCGAAAGGCACTATCACAGCGCTATCACAGGCTAGGGTAATAGGGGCTTAGCACATATGTCACCACTATTACAAGAGTGCTCCCATAATATGACTCAAATTATAGCACTGGAAGCACCTAGAAGAATCAGGGTCATAATTCGTACTTTATTCTCAATTAAAGAATATTTATTAAAGTGATTCTTGATATAAGTTTTCTTGTTTCTGTGGTGCTGCCACACTTCATCTGTCAGTATTTAGGAATAAATACCAAACAACTTTTCAATTAAAACAAAAATAAAAGATTGCATCATTTGAACATCTTGCCAAAGTAATTCAGAGTCTTTGCTGGAAAACCTTTGCTTTGCTGGACAATGTTTCATTTTATTCACATGCCCCTATTAACATAATAAGTACGTCTTTCAATACAATTACATCCAGCTGTGTTTTGTGTTGTTTTTTAACTGGGCTACCATAGTTAAAATAGTGAGATGCCTGTCAGAGTGCTCGGCTGCAAGACTCCCATTTAATTTGTAATATATAATTTCCATACTAATACCATAAATAGTTTTCAAACAGACTTCCTGGAAGAATTGAAGCCTATTATATAAAAGTAAATAGAATGCTTATTTCTTTCAGGACTAATATACTATATGAAAACAGTCCCCCACAGTCACAAACACATAGGAAGCTCTTGTGACCTTGCCGAAATTGTCATGCAGCAAGATCATAACCAGGATAGAATTAGGCCCTTATCTGATATTAAATAAGATGTCTGAAATACTGACACATATTTAAAGGAACCTGATTTTATTTTCATCCATCAGCTGACACACTCTCAAAGTATAAATGACGCTGTTAATTTACACAGAATCGCTGAGGTTGGAAAGGACCTCAAGAGATTGTTGAGTCCAACCTCCCTGCTAAGGCAAGTTTCCCTACAATGGGTTGCACAGGTAGGCATCCAGATGGGTCATGAATATCTCCATAGAAGGAGATTCCACATCCTCTCTGGGCAACATGTTCCAGTGCTCCATCACCCTTCCTGTAAGTAAGTTTTTTTGCATGCTTTTATGGAACTCCCTATGTTCACATTTTAGGCCACTGCTCTTTGTCCTATCACTACACACCACCAAGAAGAGCCTGGCCTCATCCATTTACCTCCCACCTCCCTGTAGATTCCTATAAACACTAATTAGATCCCTTCTCAGTCTTCTTATCCCCAGGCTGAACAGACCAATGACAATAAATTTAGTGCTGAATTGAACAGATACAGATACATATTTAAAAACCAAAAAATTAAACCCACAACGCATATGGAAGAATTTACTTATCCCTACTTCAGTTATTGAACAATCACATTAGTATGAATCTGTCAACACTACTTTCTATTGATACTATCTAGGAGGCTACATGGTAGGATTCTACTAAGAAACACAGCAGAAGGATGAAGCTTCTCTTGCTTTGCTGGTGAGTGGAAGACTTTATGTGAATCTGACTATAGACAACATTTGAACAAAAACACTTGAGGGTATGTTTAGCTAAAAAAATGTACAATTGCTACCGACATCTTTATATGTAAGAAACTCTGTATAATCTACTTGTAACGTTATCAAGTGCAAAATCTTAAAAAAAAAAAAAAAAAAAAAAAAGTAAATTGAGATACTGTCTTTTTTCTTAAAGAGTATGGCAACTTAACTGTAAATCTACTTAACTATTCTCAACCAGAAGCTTCCTTCTATCTGATACAAATAAACTCACATATGTGGGACAGGATAACCTCACCTGTTGCAATAGGGTGGGAATTGCCTGCCTGTGTTGCTGCTCTGTAGAAGCTGAGGTAGAAGTTAAGTATGAATCAGCAGTGTGCCCTTGCAGCCATACAGGTTAATTACACATCCAGCTGAATTAGCAACAGCACAAACAGCAGGCAAAGGAAGGGATTCATTCTTTTGCTTAGCATCTTGAGAATAATACGCCTGGAATCCCAAGACCAGTTTTGAGCCTCGCAGACAATGCGATAAGATATAAATTCAAAATGGAAAAATCTAGTGAAGGAATAGCAAGATGATCAGGAGCCTGAACGTATGACAGACAAAGAGAGGCTGAGGGAATCAGACTTATTTATCTGTCAAAAGGGGACAGCTAATTGCTGTCTTCTGATGCCTGAAGGGGGCTTGCAAAGCTGGACTTGTTCCAGACATGCACCGCAAAAGCATGAGAAGCAACAGTCAGAAATGTCAATAAGGGAAAGTGGTGTTAGCTACAAAGGAAATATTCTGTGTAATAGAAAAAAATTGCTTAGAGGGACCGCAGAATCTCTATTCTTTGTGATTTTCAAAACTCGTGTAAACAAGGGCCTAGACAATTTTATTCAATTTAGCACTGCTATGAGCAGGAGGTTGAAATCAAGGACCTCCAGAGGTCCCTCTCAGCCCATGTTTTTGTGATACAGGCTATGATCTTTACAGAGAGCAGGGAATGAAATACAAATAATCCACAGTGTGGAACGCTCCAGTGAAATGTCCATGGCTGTGTGAAATTGATCACCCTGTCCTCCAATCTCCTCAGCAGCAGAATGGAAAGACAAGACTGGCTGTTGCTTCCTCTGCTCTCTAACACTCAGTAGTGTGTGTTCTGAACTCATAAAAATAAACTAAGTGTTGACTTAAGGAAAACTAAATCTCAAAGCCTCTTCAGCTAGAAAAGCATAACTGATATTTAAAATAATTCCATTTTTTCAATATGCACGCCCATAAATTCAAGGTACATTAAAGCAGTAAATGTAAAATTTCCCTGGGTTTCAATGTCAATTAATTTTGAAGTAGATTTT